TAAACAGGACCTGGTTGCCTGTAGCGTTACTAAATAAAAGGCGAGACTTTTCAACTATTTTTTGATGCAATGTAGACACTCTGTTATCTGTATAGCTCTGTTACAATGTATTACACTTATTTAACAGCGTTAATGTAAAGGTGACTATGACAATTCTGCACCAAGTTTTTTATTAGCTCTAGCCCGTTTCCTAATCTCACCTTCCCAAAACATGTTTTTGCATCTTTATTTCATAATTTTTGTCATGTCCAAATTCAGTCAAACCCATTGCAGCACTCCTTTCTTTGTACAGTCTGATAAGAGATGGCCGTCCTTTCATGTCCATCTCTGTGGCGTTGCTGTACTTTGAAAGACATCATGGTGTGAACTGTGAAGGAGATAATTATTAATTGAACATGGGACATGGTGGCAGGGGGGTGGGGAATGTAATTACCATTTCAATAGCAGGGAAATGGAGTCCCTCCTATTGTCCTTTTCCTGCTGCTTATTAAATGAACATGTGCACTTTCTGTGTGCTATTACATGTGTGTGAACGCTTCCCCTTTGTATGTGCGCATGTTTTGTTTTCTGCAAGGCTGTGGATGCAGAAACACACTTCACTACGCTCCCATTTCACCACGTGAGATTGACTTTTTGATTGCTTTCAGGGAGTATCAGCAGAGTCATTATTCTGTGATTACCGCCGCATTATTTGCCCACCAAAGCGCCTCTGCTGCACAATCTCCGGATTCCACCAGCAGGCTTGAGTGGCGGGCAAGCGTTTGAGTGACAGCTGGTAAATGATGTCATTAGCATCCTCTTTGTTAAATGGAGCAGTGGCGACTGTTGATTGGACGGCTATAGAGGGACGGTAATTTGTTACGGCTGGTGGGTTTGGGATGATGGATGGCGGGGCGACTCCGGGAGATAGGAACTGCCCAACTGTCCTGTTTGAGGAGAGCGAGGATGACGAGTCAGTGTGGCTCACTCTTTATTTCGTGTACTAGACAGCTCATGGGACGCTGTTTAATTACTTTGGCTGACACTTGCTCGGCTGTAACTTGAGCTACAAGAAAGAATGATGGTGTGTGGTCTGAAGGAGATAAGTGTGATGGGGAATGTAGAGCGAAACAAATAAAAGAAAGTTGGACAGAAAAATCTTGGATCAACAGTTCAGACTAAGTAGAAATAAGAGAACTTAGATTTAATAGACACCTTCAAAGATGACACAAGGACAAACCTGAGCCAAAATGTATCCTGAATGTGAGCTCAGTCTATTTCAGCGCTGACATCATCTCACCTCTGCCAAGGTGTTCTCTGAGCAATGAGCACATAAAAAAGAAGGATGGAGATAAAATATTCATATTGCCTCTCTGCCCTGTTGTGAAAGGACCATGTGTTCATATTGAATGTGATGAATATTCCCGGTTTTAATTAGCAGGAGTGCAGCCACATGGGCCAACAGACTTGTTTTCCTGCAGGAGACATGACTGCAAACAAGGCATTTTAATGATGGTTCCCCGGGGATGGCTCTGCAGAAACATCAGGGCAGGATGGCCAAAAGTCTCCAAGGACCTGAAGGGTGCCCCATCAAGACTTTTTAAAGGAGCTTCAGTGGCAAACCTTAACGACCAAAAAATAGAAGTTTCCTGCTGTTTATATGAATTCAAAGGATAATTAGCCAATTTTGGGGGAATGGCATAAAGGATGAACTCAAACTTATACTATCAAAACTATTCATGTAATTTCTTTAAATATTAGATAGCCAATTATTGGAAAAATGTTCCTGCTACAAAAACTAACAGACCATTTGTAATCTTAATGGGAAAATACATTCATTTGAGCCTTAATTATCAGGATTACAGGCGTGTGTACACGTACAGGAATGATAGGTTACTCTGTGAAGCTGTGATTAAAAGCAGTGGAAAGGAGTGATGAAGCTCTTCTAGCATGATTGAAAGCTCTTGACTTCATCCATTTCTCCGCACATTTTTCTACCAGAACAGGTAGAGGAAAGAGGCTTAAAGGAGAGCCCATAGGGGTTGTAAATCTGTTGATTTCTGGGCACATGGGCTACCTTCTATGGAAATCTGGCTTGTATATTACAAGGAGTCGCAGACAGGGACAGAGAACAGAAGACAGCCTTCCATGGAGATAACATCCAGCAGTTAAAGATGTTGTTCTTCAGAGGGAGGAGTGGAAATTGTCTTTATATGTTAACTGATGGATGCTAAAGGATGGACAGACACATGAATAAAAAAAAAACAGAAATCCTTCTATATTGGTATAACTCTAAGCCTCTAAATCCTCCAAAACAAGTCTAAGCTGGTGGGCAGGGAAAGTGTTGACCCTCGCTCACTTGTGGCGGGTCATATATATTTCCTGCTGTTTATATTTTGGTTAATACGCTGCATTTAGAAACTTTCTGTTTTGGTCGTCCCCCCCACATCTATTGAATGGTTCCCTCGAAAACACACATGGATATCATTTCCCATTAACAATGATGGTGACAGTTTTCTGCATTGATTTCAAACAACTTGCCTTACATGCATTGTGGTGCATTGTAAACAAGCAAAATCCTAATTTCAGACTTTGTCTCTGCCAAAGGAGATTTGTACTTTTCTCACCCAGTTGTGTTCTTAATCATCTGCTTGTATTTGGATCACAACAAGAGACAACATCATGACTTTAGAATACCTTAAAGACTTCCCTGTATCTGTGCTGTGTGCCAATAAAGGAACCCTATTTGCTCCCCTTTATTTATTAATTTGTAAAAAAAAAAAAAAAAAAACTCATTGCAGACTAAAAGCAATGTCCATGATTAATTAAATGGTATTAACCAAGGGGTTGCTACCTGAAGGGCTATGATGTTGAAATAGATGTAAAATTAGAAATGGGTTCATTAACATTTTGTGACGTTATCACTATACAGCCCAATTCACCTTTCAAAATGATTTAGAGCCCACACCACTATCAACACACTTTTCCACAATCATCTATCCCGTCTAGGTTTTGTGTGCTGTTTGGATGTTTCTGCTGTTTATATTTCATGTTTTAGATCTTCTATTTTTCACTGCTCTCACCCCTGGCTCAGTCTGACTAGCGAGAGTTCAGAGGTTGGCAAGTTGATGAGTAATCGCCTCACAGTACACACGACAAGAAACAAAAATTACATAAGACTTTTGTTGGGATCTTGGCTCGCTGGCTTTTGCTGTTTTCGTTGAGCCCAGTTGAAACAGATTAGTACTGAACTCAAGAACAATGCAATTATGATAAAAAACATGAACAAATGTGTCGACTCTTCTGTGCAATGTGTAAGCAGGAAAATACACACAGAACCCTCCTACACTCGTATTGTCTGTCATTATATTGAGTCGACGTGTTGTGGAGAAGAGTCTTTGCGAAGGCTAGAAATACTTCAGTGTCTTCAGAGTATTTGATCAACAAGACAAGCAGCAATGAGCCGAGTAGAGTGAACTCAAAGAGAAAAGAGAAAACAGTCTATTTCTTTCTGTCGCCTCAGTATGAACCGATCCAGTGAATCAGCATCCGCAGAGGAGGCTGCTAACAAGACTGCTCTTTAATCAGAGCTGCTTGTCACGTCCTGAATCACATCGTCTGCAAAAACTGGAACGGCTCTGTTCAACCTGGCCAGAAAAATGTTGACTTAAGCCAAGTCAAGTTTGTTTCTATGGCCAAATATTACAGAATGTCTCAGCAGACTGCACAGTCCAGCCTCAGACGGAGATCTGCAAGATACTTTTAATTTGAAAGGGACATATGGTCACATGTGATTTTCTGCAGTGTACATCAGCAATTATGTTTTCATAAGTCAGGTCTTTAGTGTGAAGGCTAAACTTTAAAGCTAAAGAATTAATCTGTGAGTTATGCTCGCTCTAAAATCCTAATTATACAGAATACCAATCAGAGAGTGCAAAGCTAAATGGAAGCAGCTGTCATTGAAGAGCTCAAAACACTTCCTTTAAAAGTACAGGACAAGATCAACAAAAACCCAAGGGGAGTCCACAGGGAGCACCAAAAATTACGTAAAAGTAAAAATCCCTCTTTGGAGCTTTAAATGAGACCACGACAAAAATGAAAACACATGAATCCACATATTCACGTTCGTTCCACCACATATTCCATCAGATACAAATGAGAAGAACATTTGACAATATTGCCAGTTTAAAAGAATAGAAAAGTTAAACATGAAATGTAAAAAAATGATCATTCATTATATATCTTAAAGATTTACAAACAAGTTGTAGAGCTTTAAAAAAGATTTTCAAAGAATCAGAGCCATTGCAGAGTCTTAAGCAGTGGGTGTGATGTGATCTCTTTCCTTTATTTTGAGTTAATTCTTAACTAGCTTTAGTTTTCATTGAGACTTTTTGGGTAATCCAGTGAATGTAATTTCTGTGTATTTACACAAAACTATACCTTACTTCTTACAGTCTGTGGACTATTTGCTCTATGCTAATTTTAAATGTTTCAAATGTGTGTTTGCACCCTTGCTGCCTCTGTGTGTAGACTTTAATTATCTCCTGACAGCGATGCATGCACGCTAAGCTAATGGATCCAGACATGCATGGTGTGTTGAATGTGTTGTTGTGGAGTGCTTTTTTTCTTTTTGTACTGTCACCTCAGCTGATCACAAAGACCCCATGAGTGGGATTGATGACTTGGAACAGCGCTCATGTCATGCTTCTGCAGCCACAGCCAGACTAATGCTGTTAGCTAGCCAGGGTATTAGGTGCAGGCTCTGTCATGCATTTCACTGATGCATGACACTGGGGCTAACAGTCGACTAGCTGCTGTTAAATTATTCCGCTGTGCTCTTTTCCTCTTAAGGCTCAGTGCACCAGACTGGATTACAGGCTGAGAAAAACTTTATTAATCCTGTTGGGGACTGAGCAGACGGTGATATGCTCCCCTAACCCCCCTAAAAAGAGGGAGGGGGTTTAGTGTTGGCTCCTGCATCTTTGATGATCTCACCCTCCTCTTCCTCTCCTCCTCTGCAGGTTATGCAGGTGGTAAGGGAACAGATCATGCGAGCGCTCACTCTCAAGCCTAATTCCCTGGACCAGTTCAAGAGTCGCCTGCAGAACCTGAGCTACACAGAGATCCTGAAGATACGCCAGTCCGAGAGGATGAATCAGGAAGACTTCCAGTCCCGCCCCATCCTGTGAGTCAACCAATCAAATCACAAGAATGATGCATGTCGTATCTAAAGCACTTGCACACATCTTCAAAGGGTTACATAGTTTGTGTCACACAAATGTGTGTGTGAAACTCAAGACGGTTACAAAATGCTGCACTGAATGTAAATATAAATCAAAATCGTCAGACTTCATGTTGGATGCATTTTCAGATTGCAGTTATGCAACATAAGGTTCATCACATTAAACACACAGAAAGTAACTATTTAAGACAGATTTTTTAATTAATTTAGCACTCAATAAAAAATAAAAGCAAGAACCGAGGAAAGCCTTTACAAATATTTTTAGTTCATGGTGAAGAAACACCAGAGACAGAGACATCACTTACACGTATCTGTACTGAATGTGGAATCAAAGGAAGAGGGACAGATTATTTTGAGTTGCAAGTGATGTATGTCCTTTTTTTTGATGGAGTAGTATTGGTGCACATTGGAATCCATAAGAGTAAAAGAAGTTTATAAACTGATGTGCAATCCCAGAACCCATCGTCATTATCTTGCAAAAAATCTACTTTTTTTTTTTTTTAGATTATTATTTTTTAGATAAGGTATATCATTTTCATTGCAATTTGCACCTGGGTAAGAACACTTGGTGAGAGAGGAAAAAACGGGAGGAGAGAGTAGAAAAGACACAAGCAGCTTAACCTGAGGCCGCCACAGCATGGACTATAAAACTCTGTGTATGCACATGATGTGAAGGCTATAACAACTGATCTTAACCAGCAACCCACAGTTTGCCATTATTGCTCTCTTTACATGTGTAGAGATATTCCTGATACTGTACGTGTGACCGCTTTGTTTGAGAAGAAAGGGGGTGACAGGAGAAGGGAACAAATACAGGATAAGTCTTATATGATAATTGAGATGTCATGTCATGTCGGCCTTTAAGTCCCAGGTCCTCAGGTAGATAAAAAGAGTGCTTTTCAATTAATATGCAATTGCCTTTTTCCCACTTTTCTGATTGTTCACCAAAAGCAAGCTGTTAGCCAAAGTAAGTTACCCCTATGCTCTCATCTCATGATTGCAAATATGCATTGACTCCGAATTGTCTCCAAACAGCAGTCTGTGTGAATGCTCCATTAAATTGCTTCAGCTCAGTAAGCATGGCAGGCCGCTTGGTAATAGATCATTCATTGACTGGTCCTGAATGCAGGCCCTGTAATGGAGAACAATGTTTTGTCCTGCCTGTGTTTAATGGAGTAGCCAGCACTATTGAAAAATCATTCAACCAGGAGAGAGCGCGTCTCTTTGAACAGTAATCAATGCTGAGCGGAGGACTTATTGAATCAATATCAGAAGGGTACAGACCAAACTTTAGCCGGCAATTAATCCCAGAGGAGGAAAAGATCTAAGGAGAGGAAGTTGCTAATCAAGCTTTTAATTCAAGGTGTTGCATTAAAGGTGTCGTTGTCTTAATCACATTTAGAATCAGGTAAGAAACTATACTTTTCTATTACTGATAGAAAGACAAAATAGATTGTACAGCAACAAGTTCCCACCCAATCTCAAACTTTTGTCAAAGACATTCTGGAAGAACTCAGCAATAAGTAATTGAATACGACGCAGAAAGTAAGATCCACATTTTATCACAGAATAATCGTTCTTAGAAAGCGCTTCACATCACAGGTAGTTGAGTCCCTCTCCATCAGCGTGACACTTCCCAAGGGTGGAAATTGTCCTCAGATCAATACGGTACAGTCATGACCTGTAAACATAATGAGCAGAGCATGTCAGACTGCAGATTAAAAGGAGCTCTGTGTTACCTGCTGCGGCTGCTGCCTGTTTTCTGCTGTAAACTATTGCAGAGGATGATATTAGGCATCAAATGAAGGCACTCAAGTTACTGAACTGATTCTGATCGCAGGTGTCCTCCTGTTAAGCATTTGATTATTTTGTTATTTGAATTCCTTAAAGCCATGTTTCCCCAAATGATGAGCAGAAACTTGTATGTTTGCAGTGTAAGCAAAAAGTTACTGAGAGTTGCTTACACCTAAAAACAGAAGTAGAAAAGCATCACGACTTCCTGCAGCAGCTTAACTAAGCGGAGGAAAAGTTCATACACAACCCAACTTGAATGCTTAATATTGGGATTATAGGTGGCCTTTAAAAATTATATATAATTACCTCTTCCATCTTTGCATGGAAATACTTTACTGGTTAATTCTTAGGTATTGTACATTTTTGCAAAGCAGGAAAATTACTTTTTGTGCCTCCCCTTTCTCACCATCTTGACACCTGATAGCAACCTGACATTTCTAAAAGACTGCCCCCTTTTTTTCAAGTTTCTGTGATTTCCTCTGTGTAAAGAATCCATTCAAAGTAATCTACTACTACGCCCTGAGAAGAGAGAGCAGCCTCACAAACCCACCTGTCAGAATAAAAGCTCATGAGGCCATAAAGCTGAGCGATCCTCATCATCCATCCCTCCTCTCTGTGATTGAGCCATGCCCTCGCTGTTAGCTGTTTTTTGTCAGAGTGAATGTCCGACCACAGATCAGTGTAATGACTGGAGTCTCTGATGAGGCGAACACATAAACTGCGAGGACGAGTGGGGGGGGGGGGACAGATGAGGAGTGACGAGGGAGAGAGAGTTGGAGGGAGAGACAGAAGGACAAATATGTGATCAGGGGCATAAACAAGAGGACATACATGTGAATAAAAGAAAAGCCTGCATAATTCTAGAACGAAAAGAAGACATATAGGGGTACACTTGAATTTTCAAAGACTCAAGTTGCAGGGCAAGAATAAAAGATGGAGAGCAGAAGCAGCACAGCTCAGGCAGATGTTATACATAATTCATGATGGCTTCACATTCAGATGCAATACAGGCTCACATACATGAAGATGCATGAATAAATAAAAGCTATCAGGCTTTTGGGATGCTATGTGACATATTTCCGAGTGAAAATATTGCATACTTGTGCGCATTCTCTGTTCCCTCCTGACAGTCATAATTCAGGGGAAACTGTCAGTGTGATGATTAATGCACACTAACAAGACAAGACAAGAAATGTGTAATATTTCACTTCCAGGTAGTAAAGCATCTTCTAGCTGCTGTTGGCTACTTACCACTGGCTGTATAATGTGGTTTACAGATTTTCTTTTTTTTTTTTTTTTACAACCTATCTTCTGCTTTTTCTGCAGGGAGCTGAGGGAGAAGATCCAGCCTGAGATCATGGAGCTGATCAAGCAGCAGAGGCTCAACAGGTTGTGTGAGGGAACCTGCTTCAGGAAAATCAGCAGTCGCAGGAGGCAAGGTGAGACGCACAGAACCCACACACACACACACACACACACACACACACACACACACATGTAAACTTCCACAGATCATAGACACACAGGTTTCAGAGTGAGACTCTCCCTTTACTTGTTTGTGAGATTGTCATGTATCCTTCCACTCAGCACCAAAAACTCTGCATTGTTCCCTTTGCGTTGTAAAAAAGAAACCCACAGAGGATGCTGGCTGTATCACAGGATATCTTTGAAGCTCTGAAGCTCTAAACTTTTCTCTCTGTCAGCCTTCGAGGCAGAGACATACAGTGACATGCCGCCTCTCTTACCAGAACACATGTAGACACCTTTTTTTTAAGTCTTTGTGTCCTGAGATGCACAAGCACACTGTCTCCCCCTCCTTTTGCCCCTCCATACTGAGATGGCATCTAAAGCAATGCAAGAATACAAAAAAGGCCAAAGGCAGGGAAAACATAAACATGAGCAAGCTTCTCATAGAACATTGGAGAGAACGTGTTAGAAAAGGATATGAAAAAGAGTGCAGAAACAGCAGGTTCTACTGTATGTGTATGTGGTGAGAGTGAAAGTAATGATCTAAATGTATTTAAGTCAAAACAGGCTTATATTCTTTTCCCCACTTTTATACCACAAGAGAGACAGTGGGGGGGGGGGCAGCATTTAGACTGTATTATTTGCTGTTGCTCCTCAAGCCAAAAAGGATTTAATCCGTCTGAGAGTTGAACCCTCTACTCCTCCTCCTCTACTTCCTGCACTTTTCTTCACCCCTCTCGGTCTACATAATCAGAAACATTGAATAAAAACTGGGTGTCAAGCTCAGGTTTGTGGGTCGGATTGTCGTGATTGCGTCACTGTCATTGTCTTCCCTGCAGCGACCGTACTTCCAATAAGTCTAATCAAATTGAGCAAAACCAGGAGCATTTTTTCCACACTCTCTGATCATTTCTGGCATTTGAAAGCCTGATTATAATTTGTCTTGGCAGCTGTCATCCACATGTTGTCAAAGCTGGATTAACAGAAACACAAGACATGTTAGAGAGAGGGGGGGGGGGGAGGATTTTAGGAGAAATCATGTTGCAGGACAGATGTCCAGATGGAAAGCATCACCCAGATTGAGTTTCAGATCGTCTTTGCTGTATGCCAGGCTTTTATGCAGAAAATTGTCTTAAATTATGTTCACTGTAATATCACTTTAGAGATCCTAGAATGCTTCTCATTGCAATTCCGAGCATGCAAGTATATACAGGTACCATATGCAATACTAAACACAGAAACAAATCTTTTGCTATTCAAGGCCAGTTCTCCAGCACACTAGTGTATAAAGCAGTTCATAAGCCAGACTGTATTTAATTTAGCACTCTAGCCTGTAGGGTAACACCAGCTTCACTTTGCCGATGCACCACTCTCACTGACTGCCTGCTACATACTAGATGTGTCTGTTTTTACCTGTGAGGACTCCTCAAAGATTCAAGGGGAGGCTGTTTCTCCACGACACACACTTGCTTAGTATTTTTCTAATTGTGCATATATGAACCAGTGACTGAATATAATGTTAATATAAATTATAATGGGATGGGATATAATGTTTCTTTGCCTCCTTCCTTTTTACAAAAGTAAAGCCAAAATTCCCCCCACAACGGGTGCTGTTTTATTGCACTGTTGACTTAATTTGGCATATTGATTTGCCAGTTTAACACGACACAGCCCACATACATTTTTATCTCAAGTTTCTGGATCAAAATACTGCCAAACTGTGCTACTCCTACCAGATGCTAACTGTTCACTGTGCTTGTTTACATCTGGGTAATAAAGCAGGCCCATTAACCTGGGTACAGCCAGTCTATGGCTAGTGGTGGGGGGGCCGCGTTGCAGTTTGAGTATAACATTTGAGCGGCTTCGAGGTCCAAGATTGATAATTGATTATTCATTTAACTGACAAGTAATTCTGGTGCCGACTACTGAGTGTGAAGATGTATTCGACTTAACGTGCACATCCCTACATGTAATCATGCAAGGTTTTAATGATGTATGTTTATTTTAATTTTAAATTAACCTGTTTTTTGTTATTATGTGTGGTTGTTGACATCATTTGTCATTTAAGTTTTTATGCTCTCGGTCGAAGGCAAGTTCCCTTAGAGGCAATAAAGCATCATCATTCATTCTCCCCCACTCTGCTAATTCAATGCACACGGCGCTGCAGGAGATGCATTTGTCAACAGAGCTGTCAATAATAGCTTATACCCCTTTTATCGCATCAAACAACTTTAAAAGAACTAAACTACTCCAAGAAATGAACACTTTGATATGTCACCATGATAGGAACTAACCACAAAAACCAAAAAAACATGTTTGAAAAAATATATCTCGCATATAATTAGATTTGATAGTTTTACCAATATCTCTTCTGTTCACACAGAGCAGGTGGAGCTTATGACTTCAGCCAGTCAGTAGGGGGAGCTACAAATGTTTCAACTTCCCTTCTGGGCAACTGTTATGTAGTCCATCTTGTTATACTACCTATGATGTGAACATTTACAACATTCCTATGCTTCCTCCTACATCCAACCCACCTGCTCCCATCTCCCATCCCTCAACTCTTCACCTTTTCATGACCCTTCCTTCTGACCCTTAGTTCTCATCCGTGTCCTTACAACGCATTCATGTATTGACAACATGAAGAGCACTTTGTCTTGCAGAACCAGTGCATGCAAAACTTAAATAAAAGTGCCCTATAGCAAATTACATTTTTTGCTCTGTGTCACACCCGCAATAATAGTGTTCTTGTCTTGTTACTTTAAAAACTTTCACAATGCTTTTACCTCTCAGTTAAATGTAGATGCATACATACATAAAAACTCTGCTCCTCTACACCTCCTCCCACTCTTCTTCTCCTACTTCTCTGTCAGCATCTTGTGTGACTATTTCAAAGTCCTCCAACCTGCGGGGATTCAAGGGCCAACATCAAATATTAATTTAGCTGACTTCAGTATGGATGACACACCTCTACCTTCCAGAGTGCCTGTCTGCCCATTACAAGGGGATGCATCTGTCTAAAAGCTCAGGGTGATGCTGTTTTGAAGTTAAGAGCACTACCTGTATAATCTTCTAAGTGCAGGGTTACTGACAGGTAACAGCTCTCCAGGCTCTGGAGAGTGAGTCTTGTATGAAAGCTGCACTGTAGCGAAACTAAAAGTGGAAATTTGGCCTGATTCTGCTTAATCTCTCTGCAGCATTCATCCACAACCTGGCAGCTGAATCAGATAAAGACGATTATAGATTAAGTGATACAAGAATAAAAACGGAATCCAAGATCGTCTCCAGGCCAAAGGCAGAACATATGTGCTTGTAAATATACACAGATGCGTATTAAAAAAAAACAGTTAAGCTGAACAGTTGATAACGCCACAGCTGCCACACACATCTCTCTCTCTCTCCGGGCTCCCCTGTGGACTGGTGCCACTCTGCACCAGCCTGGCACAGCCAAACATCTATTTTCAGCAATTACGTGTTGGACGGTGCCACCCATGCACACGCCAGGCAGACCTCCCCAGTCTGCGCCGCACTCTCTGCCAGCTCAGCTCGCCCTGGCAGGGGACTGACGGAGAAGTACACCAGACTGGCTGCAGAGGTAGTTAGAGGAGGCTGTGAGGGAGCAGCGCTGTGCAGACACAGATGGTTGAAACAGACATCCGCTGTTATAGGATTATACATGAGAGTAGCCAATATAATGCACACTTAAATTGATAAGCAATTATGTCTTATTTAAAGATAAAACATGTTTTTTTAGACTCATTGTAGGAGCTTCTTCGGAAGCTTCGAGACAAAATGCTCTGTTTCACATTATATGAGAGTCTTATAGTCTTATAATTAACAAGGCAAGAACAACTTTTGACCTTTCCTGAACTTAAACTTTCACCACAAATATTAGACTTCTTTTTTTAATGTTTTGTAAATGCATGAATTAATTACATCATTTGAGATTCTTTGATATAAATCCATATGCCTCCAAAATGATTATACAGCTCAGCTTATGGCCCTGACCCAACATGAGTTCTGAGGTTTTCGCCTCTTGAAGGAAGTTTTTCCTTGACACTGCAACTTTGCTAAATGTTGTTCAGTGCTGTGCTCATGGTGGATTAATGTTGGCTCTTTGTAAATAGGATATCAAAGAGGGGGTCTAGACCTGCTGTTTTTGTAAAGTGGCTTGGGATAACATTTGTCATGAATTGGCACTAAACAAATAAAGATTGATTGATTGATGTTTAAGGTTTCATCTTTCTCAGAAAAAAAGATTCTATCATCCTTTTAAGATCTCAACTTGCCTGTGTTAACTGCCAACTGTCTGTTTTGTTGCCCATGAAAATCCCTCCCTCATGCAGAGAATCACAGCCCATCTGTGGATATTCCTGTTTTCTGTCTTTCTTTCCTTTTTGTCACAGCTTTTTTTTTTTTTTTTTTTGCCATGCTAATTTTCTCTCCTGTTGGGTGACTCATGCAATCCCTCACGATGTCTTCTGCCAGCCGCTGACTTTTTTCATAACTCCTCTTAATCTGTATCTTCTGTCTTTCTCTCTTTCTCCTTCTTTTTTCTTCCAGATAAGTTTTGGTACTGTCGTCTGTCTCCGAATCATAAAGTCCTGCACTATGGTGATTTGGAGGAGAGCCCTCAGGGAGAAGTGCCCCATGATTCTTTGCAGGACAAATGTGAGTGTCAAGAAAAACGCATAATGTTATTAAAACCCAGTTCTGCATTTTATCTGCCTTATAGCTCGCACTATTTATTAGAATGTGCTCCAGTCGACCCACAGGAGTGAGGTCAGAGACAAAGGGTGTGAACATCAGTTCTTTTACAGTATGTTTGCAGTGTCAGATGTTGGGAAAGTTTCAACTTTGAGTGACCAAACAAGCCACCCATCTGCTGTGGCACAGTTAGAACAGGGATGTTGTTGATGTGTTTTTGTTTTTAACTCACTTCTGTCCTGTCTGTAGTGCCCGTGGCTGATATCAAAGCTGTTATCACCGGCAAAGACTGTCCTCACATGAAGGAGAAGGGAGCCCTGAAGCAAAACAAGGTAAGTGCGAGTGCGAGTGCGTGTGCGTGTGCGTGTGTGTGTGTATACATGCGCGTAAATGTGGGAGGGTGGTCGGTTACCATCCAAGCGAGAGAGCGTGTTTATGAGAATTACGTAACATGATGTGAGTTATATAAATTTGCTTGGGGAAATAACACAATAACTTGCGTCTCAGTGCTCAGCACAGAGAGACGTTTCCATCAGCGGCGTTGTGTAGAAATAGATTGCAGAATAGTCCTTAAGCTGCGGACACACATCACACCCCTGACGACATGCTGACATCTTTTATTTGCACTTTTTCTCTGAAAACCCCCAACACGTGCGTGCGCGCGCACACACACACACACACACACACACACACACACACACACACACACACACACACACACACACAGTGATATATTGGATCCTTGGTAAATAGCCTTGAAGACAAAAGAGCATGCCTCCTTCATGCTTTGTCTTCTTTATTACATTGTCGATAAGCACAGGTGTAGGAGAATGACCTGAAGACGGTCTCCGGGCTGTCTTGCAAGCCTGTCCCAGACTTTTGAATTAGAAGACCAGAACATTTCATTACTCATTTTTACAAGGTCATACAAAGTCACCTCTGCAGGCTTTAAAACAGATGAGGACCAATTCTGGGACACTGGAGCAGACCTGAGGTGGTAGACAGTGTCTCGGAATTCTTCAAAATGTATCTTTCATCAGCAGTTCTTGGGAAAATGTCACTCATTTTTCCTAGTTATTCCTAACAAATACATACATGCCTTTAAGGATGTACTCAGGCCAATGTTTACCCTTGTTCAGAGGCCTTCTGTGCCTCAAGACATGCCTGTTATTCAGCAGGTGCACTGACCTGGAAGTGCTGTTTGCCTTTCATCTGTGCTCCGTATTTCATCTCATTACCGAAGCGTGTCCCGCTGCTTCATTTACATTCATTTTAAAGAAAGCATCATGCAGATGACTGGAGGATATATGATAAGCATGGAGGATTGAATGTTCCGCCGTATTAGATTTCATGCCATTTGTGCCTGGTCCAATTCTTGTGGAAAATCCTTTGCCTCTAAAGAGCAGGTGCAGGTTTGTGTAGCTACATAAAAGAAAGACGGTGACAGGGAAAGGAAATGAAGCTGTATTTTATTGAAAACAGATGGGAGACGAGGGGGTTGAGGAGAGGGCAGATGCATTGAAGAACTTTGTAAAGAAACACCAGTTAAAAAGGAGTATTGGTTGAGGAGTAGAGTGTTAGATTTATAACAGTAAATAGCGTTTTTGAGTGTTTTTAAGGCCATAAAGTTGAATGGCTGACTTCACTGTCAAGAGGATTTTGGCCAAATTAAAAAAAAAAAAAAAAAAAAGAAAAGAAAATCTTAAGATTAAGCGAGTACAGCAGTAAAAGAAAACAGTTTATAATTTAAGAGAACGGAGTCGTCAGTGTTACACTGCTCTAAGTGTCCTTTCACAGATAAAGACATTTGATTTATTTCTAAGCCCCCCTACTCTGAAAAAATCCAGCTGCTGAGCTGAAGCTTTTCCATATGTAAGTGCATGTGTATAAGTTCTGGTTAATATGTGTTTGCTTTATATATTAAGCTTTTATTTATTACAAAGTTACAATTCACTGAGCAGACGCTTTTATCCAAAGCAACGTACATTATTCATCCTCTTTAATCCTATTCTTTCAAATGTACTGAAACCAACTGTCCATACATACCAATATAAATCAGTGCAAGTACACACATCTCTTTCTATAGATTGTTTATAGTAATTGAGCAAAAAGGTGCATACTGTAAAACAAAAAAAAGTGGGGAAAACAGGCACATTGAGAAAAAATGGTTTCAAGAACATTTTAATTTGATGCAAAAAGTCATTGCAGACCCCTCATGTGTTGCATGTGCACAGCTATTTGTCTGCAAAATATTCTCCATCTTCTAAATAAAGAATTAAAGAAATCAGATGATTATTTCATGCACAGTGCAAGACAGTGTTTAATCATTTGCTTTTGTGTATACAAATCTCCAGTAGACCACAGCAGACATTGAGGGAATGCATTTGAAATCATATCATATCACCCGTCTCCCCCCGTCTCTATCTTGTGTCTGAGGGCATCCGAGGTATTTCTCTCTCTGAGTTCTCCCTTGCTGATACCCGATGAGCTGATGTAACAGATGGTGATAAGACATGAGGAGGAGTGGGAAATATCATTGGAATAGCAGCATTGTGGTGTTAATTTCACCTGTTCTTTTTCTTTTCCTTCGTTTCTCCTTCCCCGCTCCGTCCCTGTCTGCGTCTCCTGCTCTGTCTTTGCACCATTTTCTCTCCCTCCCTCCCTCCCTCCCTCCTCTCCACTCTACCTCTGTCCTCTCTCCAGGAGGTGTTGGAGCTGGCCTTCTCTGTCCTCTATGAGTCCGACGAGTATTTAAACTTTATTGCTCCTGACAAGCATGAGGTAAGCCAACGGAGGGTTGTTGATAGTGTCAAACAGAATGAACATGTGTGATCTCCCATGATATCAGTATACAGGTTTAGACGAAGTGCAGATGTGTATTGGAAATGCTTACTAAAGCTAATTGAAATGGTTCTAGTGGTTCTAGAGGTCCTGTTTTTTACCCTTTATTTAACAACCTAGAACAACCATTACAGCATTTTTAACGTCTGAAACCTTTCATTGTCAAAACAACTTTCCTGGCAAATGCTTGTGTGCCTGTGTCACCGCCTCCAGTTGTTTAGATGAAAAGCACAAGTACTTAAAATGTCACTTACTTGACAAAGACAAGTAATAAGTTATGAGTTAAAGATATAGAAAATATTCAATTTTGGCAGTTAAAATTGATCACAAGAAAATTAATAGAAAACAATTTAGGAGATTGCTCATGCTCATGCCGTCTTCCTAAATGTAAACATTTCCTGATTTCTATTTGTTATATATACATTTTTCGCTTTTTTTAAGACAACCAGACAACCCCCCCAAAAAATAAAAATAAAATAATATGAATTTAAAGATGTAAGTTTAGTGTCGAAACAATAGAAATGTGCAGCCCTAGTATAGAGGTAGTCAAAAAAATCTGTAACATTTGACAAATGGATACTGTCTGATGTATATGTCATCATATAAACCAAAGCTATTTTTGCTTAGCTCAGAAAATACTTGACATATACGTGTAGCAGTTGAGTTGAGACGTAACTTGGAGTTAAGCTCAAAGAGATTTCCAAACAGCTCTTCATCTTATTTATATAGCACAGGGACTTCAAAACAGAGGGGGAGTTATCATGTGTATAGATTATGACGCAATTCTTCGCTTTGTAGACAGAGGTCTACTTTTTATTGACTTTCTCTATAACGCATATTCTCAGAATGAATTGGATCCTGAAACTTCTTCAAACCTGAGAAGTTTGTATTTAGGACAGGAGCTGCTGTATCTCCTGAGTCACAGTGCACACACGCTCTCCTCCCTCTGTGCCAAGCTTCTTTTATGTCTTCATGTCTCTGTAGCAGGTGAAGCTTGTAATGCTCAGCCTGATCTGAGTCTGGAAATATATCATTCTGTATCAGCGTTTGTAGATTTGGAGGTGTTTGTTTTTGTGCCTGTAGTTTGGTTGTTTCTGCTGCCCTGATTAGTTTTTATTTTGTAACCCCCCCCCCTGCCCTCTCTCTCTGCAGTACTGCGTGTGGACAGACGGTCTAAACGCCCTCCTGGGTAAAGAGATGACCAGCGATTACACCAAATCTGACATGGACACCCTCCTCTCCATGGAGATGAAGCTCCGCCTTTTGGATCTAGAGAACATCCAGATTCCTGAGGCCCCGCCCCCAATTCCCAAAGAACCTAGCAACTATGACTTTGTTTACGACTGTAACTAGACAACCGACTACCACGACCCCGAGCCCACCCAGCACCTACTGTTCTCACTGGACCGATTCACTTTTGTTACAAACTGGAACAAAAACAAAACTCCTAACATATAAAAAAGTGAACTGTGACTAAAGGAAAAAAGGATTTGTTCAACTATTTTCCTCTTGCTTATTGCAATAAAAGAGAGAAAATGGTGCGTGTTTATAGGCATCGCTACAGTTGAGGGATTCAGGGTGGATAAGGGGTCATCAGGTTGGTATGGAGAGGAGAAACCAGGAAGTACTTGTTCAGGCTGTCATTGGTCGCCCTGCCTCTTCTTCCTCACTCTTCTCCTGTCTCCTGTTTGAAACATTCACTTCCTCTTCTCAGCCAGGCGCTCACTGTCTTTTTGCTTGAATATTGCAGTAGAAAAAATGCTTAGAAGTTCAATTGATACAGCTTTGTCGTTGTCCTTTTTTTCATGTTTACTTCATTATTTTTCCTCAGGGCTTTTGTTGGTGGTTGGTGTAGTTCAGGAGCAGGAAGGGACAGGGGTTTGTCCCCACTTCTCCCGTAGTATTTCCCATCACATTCTCATGTACAGTATCTGTGGCAGCTACATGTTTCCAAGAGGCTAATAAGGAAGGTTGAAGTACATTTTAAGATGAATTCTCCTTACAAATAGCTTCTTATATCCACTCTGTACTGCTACATGTATACTGAAGACTGTTAGAGTAAGTCAGTCCTCAAATCCAACGCACTGTACTCCAGTAAATAGCCTTTCTTTCCAATATTCTACTGTTCTTGTTATAATCCCGACACTGCTTACCGCATATTGTACACACAGACACAGTGGCTTTGCCGACACCACCTGAACAAAGCACCACCATTGTGAAACACACAAACACTCGTCTCTCCCTCATTTGGGTGTCTTTCGTTGTAATGACTGCTGTACACGACATTCCTAAGCAATATTTGAGCTTCTTTTGTTTATCATATGTAAGATGGTTATAATTAAGTGATTGGAAAATTGTGAAACTGCCAAGTAGTTGGTATAACAACGTGTGTGTGTGTGTGTGTGTGTGTGTGTGTGTGTGTGTGTGTGTGTGTGTGTGTGTGTGTGTGTGTGTGTGTGTGTGTGTGTGTGTGTGTGTGTGTGTGTGTGTGTGTGTGTGTGTGTGTGTGTGTGTGTGTGTGTGTGTGTGTGTGTGTGTGTGTGTGTGTGTGTGTGTGTGTGTGTGTGTGTGTGCGCACGTGCACGTTTGGGACAATATGGCCACAAAATTTAAAGTCTGTGTATTTTCTTAATTTAAAAACAGATCATGTTTGTTATTTCTAGTATGATTTATATATTTTCCCCTTCATATTTAATACCTTTTTTGATTTTTTGCAAAGCCCCTCAAAACTGCTGTTTACATTAAAGATTTAAGAACCATAAACACTTTTAGCTTCTGTATCTCTTCATTTACAAACAACATGCAGGTGAAATGTTTGTCCTGGATTAAGGTCGGGCCTGGATGGTCTTTAATTAGCTAGTTTGCCTGTCAACCTAAAGCGGCACACATTCTGGTTAAAGGTATCCTATGTTAAAGCACCTTCAATATGTAATTGGAAATCAGTATAAAAACGTAAATATTGACCAAAAGACATCATCTTATAAATAACAACATATAAAGACATCCTCTGTAAAATACTTATGTAACTACTGGTTCATCCTAAAACAATGGCAGGTCCCTGAAGGTGCTCCTTCTTTGCTTGGAGGTGTCATACACAGTGCCACAGTTTCTCTGCCTCTTCCTCCAGAGACTCCAGGTTCATCTCCTTCTGAGCGTCTCCCACAGCCTGCAGGTGTCCCCTGAGCTGCTGCTGCTGCTGCTGCTGCTGCTGCTGCTGCTGCTGCTCCTCCCATTTCAGCTCCAGAGACATTAAAACAAGGTGCTGGCAGTGACAGAAGCATCATTTTATTTTATTTTTAAAAAAAGACCATAACCCTAAAGAGAAACACTCTTTATTCTCTTAACCAGGCTCTCAACCTCAAACATCCTCCTTTGTCTTTTACATCAAACTATTTCTACTATGCATATGGATACCTTTGGCCAAAGATTAATTTGTTTACATGTGAAAGTGAACATGAAATGCTCTGTGAAAATGTGACATTGTTAAATATTAATGTGGAAAAGATATTGATTGATGATTCATAATAAGAGAAGGTCTTCCTTTGTTTCGAAGCTTAATATTTAAGCTAAGTTTGCCTCTCTGTGAGTGTGTGTGTGATTGTGTGCGTGTGTGTCCTTCGTTGTGGTGCCTGGTTTTCCCATTACATGCCTGGCTGTGTCACAGGTTATTAATTCCCCCGCACACAGGTCGGAGCAGTCCTCTACTCCTCAGTGTGACACCATTTCCTGCTTGACAGCTTTATCTACCGCCCAACACAGAAACCTCCGGTGAGCTTGGTCTATAGGGGAACATTGTTCACTCACCAATGGGTCCTGATGCCCCCTGAGCTCATTAGCAATGTAAGGCAGGGCCTAACAGCATCTGTCTCACACTCTCTTGGGGAAAGAAGTCATGTATACTTTACCCCATTTCAAACTAACACACAGCATGACAGTGTTTCAACACTCCCACTTTCAGGCTCTATCATTTCTCAGAGGGGGACCTGTGGTGTTTTATTTTTGGTCGAGCAACGCTATGAAGAGGATAACTTGCTGTTACTCTATTAGAATGGAATTAATAACGAGAAAATGTCTTAAGAGCAGATTGAAAGCTGCATGTGCATACAGGTATCACTTTAAAGGCATTTATTTAAGCCAAATCATGTGTGTGCCTGTGTGTGTGTGAGCGGACATGTCTAATGCATTTTAATAGGGACACTGTTAATGTTGTCACATTGTGAGAACTCTCTTAATAGGGGGGCAAAACTCAAGTCACCATAACAAAATCCAACCTGTTCAAGGTGGATAGATAAAGTAGTGTGTGTATGTGTAAACTGCTTATAAATGTGCGTATTTTAAGCTGATGGTGTAAAAGAAATCGGGAAGTAGCTTCTTTTATGAGCTTACCTTATCTTGATTCCTTAAGGTGCTCTTTGCCATATTGTGTTTGTGTGTTTCATACACACTTGCCTTTGAAAGACAGGAGAGAAATCACTTTGTTGGCCTTATCACGAGTTTGCTGGAGACTTCACACAGCATGTGTGACAGTAGCCGGAGGACTGCAGCCAGCAGGGTGCAGCTTCTGTCCTCATCCAGCAGGACACACTAATCAAATCAGATTAAGGCCGGAGCTGATTATATTATCGTCACACATTCTTCCAGACAAGTCGGCATGGCACAGGGACTTCTCTTCTTTCTGCCCTTGTTAGTGTCTGCCTGAGAGTGTCTTTAGGGTCACTTCAGCTGAAACAAACAAACAAAACAAACACTTGCCAATGGTTTTAACCAAAGCCTTGATGGTGGAGTTCAGGGATTAATCAGGTCATTATCTCCTTCTCCATTTGATTGACCTCCTTATTGAAGAGGCGGCATTTTTACACTTGAAGATAGCTCAAAATCTCAGTAACTCAAACCGGATTTCCAGTTCAGTAAATGTTTTTGTGATGGAATCAATGTTGTAATGGTGTGCTGTTGGTTTGCGTCTCTATATCTACAATTCACTTAGCAGACGCTTTTATCCAAAGCGACGTACATCAGAGAGTAAGTACAACACAAGCAAGGATCTAGAAAAAAGGGAACAATGTCAGTAAGAGCAAACGATCAGTTGGACACACAGGTGCTGACAGGAAGTGACCAGAGGCAAAGCACAACACTGACGGCAGTTCTTGAGAGCTCTGTATCTGTATATATAGTTGCATCTGACTCGGGGACAGGGTCACAAAGCTTGTGAACATATAAAGATTTTTTAGCAAATCATCAAAGTGTCTTCTGAGTAAGGAAAGATTAAGGGTGAAACCAATACAAGGCAACCGTACTTGTTTTTCTTTTCTTGGCTGCATATTGAATGTGGTGCCATAGTTCAGTCATTCCCAAAGGGTGTTATTGACTAAATGTCCTCTCTTACACAGGTAACTCACAGATCTAATGGAGCCAAAAGAGCTGTTTACGGGGCAGAGAGAGACAAAATAAAAGATGTGCAAGACCTATTCTACGTTTTCAGCTCATCATTTGTATCGACTTGTTTTCTTGGCTTGTTCACTCAGAGTCTCCAATTACTGGAGAAATCTTTTCAATGTGGACCCACAGATCCATATCCCAGTGGATAGAGTAGAAAATCAGGATAGTTGGGAATGACATGCAGGAAAGGAGCCGCAGCTCAGGTTTGACTCTGGGCTGCTTGGAGGACTATAGCCTCTGCACATGGAGCGCAAGTTGCGACCTAACTGCTAAGCCATCAGTGCCTTGCTTTTTTCCTTGTTTTATCTAAATATAACATGGAAGAGTCAGAGAAGGTCCCTGAAATCATTTTTTTCCCACCAGATTCCCACTACAGGTATTACATGTGCATAAAAAAGGCACGCCAGAAGAATTTTTGCTATTTCCAACTACAGATTTATATCTGTGTTGTTTCATAGTACCCCAAAATGAGCTGACATTTTCCTTTTTTAAGATATCTAGTGCAAGATTAAACAGGTTAGTTAATGTATTTTGCTTAGATCCTTCAGAAAGAAGCCTGTTTATCACAAGTGGCATGCTTCATTTTACAACATCAGATGTGTTAGTAACACACCACACCACATTTTAGAGACGATGTTGAAGAGAACATTTAAGGGGTTAGATGTCATCAAACTATAACATGGACACATTTGAAGCTTGACGTAGGTGACATTAAAGAAACAGGACTGTGGTGTAGTTCTTTCATAGTTTGATGTTTGGAACTTCGGGGGATGGCATATAGGATTTAAAGTTGCTTTAAAATGTTTTATTGAAAAGTGCTGATTATTTCCCTGGGATTATTTGTAAAATTGTGTTATCCTTTCAGCACTCAGCTGTTCTAATGAAAGTGAATTGGATGGGTTAGCTAGTTAGTTACACCTAATCCATGGGCCATTCTTGTATTATTGCATTGTAGCGCAAACCTCGAATACTTGGCTAAATATCCTCCCTGAAGAGACAGATGAGCAGTGACTGTGGCTTTTCTTCCAGCTGCAGCACCTGAGGCCCTGTGCCAGGATTAGCAGGGCGGAATGATTACATTAACCCACACAGAGATCATTCCTGCAGAGAGGAAAACTGGGATTTAGATAAATGGATACAACTCTGAAATTGATTCCCGTGTTCACCCAGTTCACAGTTGCTTAATCTCAGCTAACTTGTGGTGAATTTAGAAGTCTTATCTTCTCAGACAGGGATGTGGGGATTGATTGAAGACACTCCTGCAGTCAGTCAGTGTTTACAAGTGTAATACAAGCACACCAGAGGACTAATGCATTTCTAATAAGCTGCAAGAGGAGTGTCTGCCAAGTGCAGTCACTCTGCATGACTGGAAAACTGTTGTAGATTAAAGTCGATCATATTGATTTGTATTGCCAAGTGCTCCAAGGATTCAAACATCTATGCTTGACCTTACAAACTGCAGTTAAGAAACTTCTCATCACATGGACTTTTAAGTAGCTGCTTTTCTTCAGATCCACTTCAGTATGGTGTTTGACACTTCCCGCTGTGCAACAAGGACCCGAGGAGCTTTAGGCCTTTGTGTTAGTGTCTGTAGTCTGAAATAGAAAGAAAAACCAGTGTCAGGAAACAGAGGATAAGAGTAAGGAGTGAGGGATGCTCTTTGGAAAGAAGGCTTTAAATCATATCAGTGGAATTCGACATGTTGATACAAACTGAAATACAATCATAATATTGTGTTAGTAAGTCTTTACTCTTGGACGAGGTTTGATTGAGATGTTTGAAATACATGACAAAAACATGTGAATTGAAAAAACACTTATCCAGAACTTGCATTTGTCATTCTAATATTCCGAGCTAAGATACATTAAGAACAGTGTCGTTCGAGAATGTCTTACCTTTTTGTTTTTTTTGGCACATTTGTCGTATTCCTGCAGGAAAGGTTACATACCTAACAAGAAGAAACACAACTTAACAGAGCTAAAACAGTCCCACAGTTACCCATCATGTCTGCCTCTATCTGTTTTCTTTATATAAATATACGTTTTAGCAAAGCCTTACGTGGAGTATCCTTTCAAGATGTCCTCTTTATATCACTTAACCACCTTCATGTCTCCTCTGCTTCCACACACACATGCACATCACACTCTTTAGTTCTATTCTAGAGAAAAGCAGTCTCAGCGAGAAAACATGTCATACACAAGTCTTTTGTTCTCTGCGTCGCTCAGGATCTAATTCTGGTGAAGGTTGACACCTCTTGATGTTGTGAAATGGACGGGTACTGTGTTGCAAAGCTGAGCCCATGAATCACAGGGGATGGATTTGGAAGCATTAGAGCACCACTGAGGAGGGGGGGGATGAAGACTGAGACTTTTTAATATGACAACAAATGATCCAAACTTAGCCTCTGGTGGCTGTTTTTGGACCGTGTGGTTAAGTCCTTGAGTTTTCCAAAGTCACCATATGTTTGGCGGTGTGGGGCTTTGACAAATGATGATTCACTGAGGACAACAGGGGAAATCTGTCTGAACATCAATAAAATTTCCCATCGAAGGCTGCAAAAAAAACCTGGAGGATAGGATGACTGTTGTTCAACCAGGATATGCTTTCAAGACTTGATTATTAGCAATCAATCAATCAATTTCATAACAAACGTTGTCCCAAGACCCTTTACAAAAAGAGCAGCTCTAAAATGTACTCTTTGTTATATAAATTACAAAGACCCTATTGCTTGATAATATGTAGTTTTAGTTTAAATCATGAAATAACTCAAAACAGTTTCAGCATAATTAAATAGAACTGACATATACAATAAAGCTATCTCAGAAAGTCACAACCTCAGTAGATCTATAACTTGTTTGTGTTTGATTAATTATAAAGCTCTTCTTCACGCTCATGCTACACCCACACAGGTGTTTCCACTTTGTCTAATTAGACCTCTCCTCGGTGCCGTGCGAGGTGTCCTCAGGCTGTGATGTAATGTGAAGTCACTTCTGAGGGCAGGTGAACTTAACCTCAGCTTTATCATTCTCATTAAAAACCTGAAGTTTGATGACCTTGTCTAATTTCCAGCGCAGCTTCAACCAACTTCAGCCAAGCGGAAGAGTAATTAGCCTGAGTGAAAACACCTGTTTTGTTGTGCAGGACCTTTAATTAGCCGGATTATTCCTGCAGTAACACACGGCACAATGCTCGTCATTTCAGTCAAAACTAAGTTTCAAGACATTTCAAAAATAAATAATTACAAAGCGGAACAGGAAGAGGATCATTCTTCATAAAGATTTGCTTTTTAATTTAAAAAAAAAATACATTTATACATTATACATATGTACAGTAATTACAATGTATTATAATTCCATTTAATTGTGAATGAATATCCTATTCAAGGTTAAATCAGTAGAAAACTTTTAGACATTCAATTCTTCATTCACATTGTCTTTTAATCTCTGGAATGCTAAATGCCAATGAGAAATAATCAACATTATTAATGACAATGATTTAAAGACATTAAAATAGCACATTTCGAACGTATTTGTCTGATCAAGCCAGAGTCACACGTTGCCCAGGTTTAAACGGGACTGAGGGAAGAGATTTCCCATCTCCTTCACCGCCAAACGCTTCATACCTTCAAAAAGAAGAGAAGACAGTTCATGTATAGTGAAGTAATAGTTTCATTTAATAGATTGATCATGTATTCCTCCATTTGACACATGAAAGATGAGTCAGCAGTTATATATAGTTGACTGTGCTATTTCTGTTTAGCTCTGACTTCCAGTGATTCACAAAATGCAGAACAAAGTAATTCCACTTAATTAACAGAATACTGAGAGCACGATAACAATAATGATTCATATTCCTCTGTTGCCGTTTCTTGGCAACAGCTCTGAACACCTATCTGTCAAATGTTTTTTCCATTTCCACCCGTAGCTGAGATTCTAAACGCTCAATATATGCTTGATACATTTTGCAGCCAATTGAACGGCTATAATCTCAAATTTGACCAAAACATATTGAGCACTGTGAAATGATTTCTTTACTTCCTTTACCGCAAACTGCTTTTATAATAATGAGCTCTATCTATCAGTATTTGGGTGATTTATATCACTGCAGTCCTCTGTGCTGCGTACTTACAGTCTGGAGTATTTAATCCAGTCAGCTTTGCTAAGAGACGGTCTTGTCACAGTCAGGGCCGAGTTCAGGTGAGCCTGACACAGCAGCAGGCCCGGCTGGCTGGAGGCTGAATGCACCCGGACAGACTCCTCCTACAAACAAAGGGAAGAGCTATCAAGCACATAGCAGCAGCCTACCTGAGCAATAACAGCACACGTCACTGGAGAAGTTTAGTGCATATTAAGCTAGCTGATGACTGAACAGAAACAAAATGATTAGACTGCAACACGTTTTGGATCATCTTCTGTCCAGTGTCTTCACTTACGTTGGTCCTCCTGTAGTTGTTCTTGATAGTTTTCATGTCTTGTTGCAGGCGTTCCAGCTGCTCCGGGGCAAGCTCTTCATACCCGCTCTGAAGCGAGGACATGTAGGCAGGAGGAGCAGAGCTGCCAGGGTCACGAACACCAAGTCTGCTAGAGTCGTGGGTCGTGGAGTTTGTTCCAGAGACGCCCTGAGAGTTCTGACACTGGAGGAAGAAACCCAACAAAATAACAAGAGGGAAAACAGTTTTCTAAATTGAACAACAGCATTGAGCATAGTAATTACCCACACTGTGCTGTTATGCGTACATAGTGTAAGTGTTTCTTTAAGTAACCAGGTCAGCGTCTAAGGACATAAACTAAATAGGCATGTAAGCACATTCGCAAAAAGGCGGAGACACCTAAAAAAAAAAAAAAACTGCATTAATTAATACAAATGTTTATAATTATTGACTGTATTTCAGGAACAACAATTGTATTAATAATGAACTATACAGTAGAGTAATAAGTAAGGACACTGCACTCCTCAAATGAGGTGGGGGTCGGATCAGGCTTGGTGGACGTTCATGTTTTGATTGTTGTTGACTATGATTAAACGCTATGGAAATTCATTCAATCAAAAACCTTCTGTTATTTTCCAGCACCACTCACCAGTCCCAAAAATGGAGAATTCCCCGACTCTGACTCATAGGAGCTTCCAAAGTAAAGCCTCCAGACGTTGCCACAGTATTGTTCGCCTTCTGTTTGGAGTTCACTGGACTCCAGAAGAACCATGGACTGGTCCAGACCTGCGCCTGTTGGGTCCACCTCACCCACTGAGTCATCTGAGCCACTGCTGTTGTTTGGGAAGATCATGGAGGACAGACTCATGTCGCTTTCTGAGCCAGAGGTCAGCTCCTGAAACAGACGGCCAAAGTTTTGATACACAAGGCTTCACAGCTGCCAATAACTAGTGAATTATTTTACTATGTTGTTGCAGTTAGAGATATGTTTGGTTTCGATTTTTAGCCCTTCCTGTTAATTCTATTTAACACTATGCTTGTCCTAATTGGTCAAGTCAAATTCGGTTGCCAAGTAATAAATTCTCTCACATGGTCAGATGCTTACTAAACTCCTCATTTAGTAGCTTTGAGAAACCAAAAACAAAAAGAGTCTAGACTGCTCTACTCGCAGATGGAATGGCAAACAGTGTCCTGCCTCCATGCTTCATTAGCCCAAAGCAGCTCCCCTCTAACAGCTTCTCAGTGACTAGTCTTTTAAGTATTGCAGACTTACATGCTGTGTGTTGGAGCCCAGGCTGTTATGAACAACCTCCAGCTGGGCGTTATAGAGCAGAGCTTTCAGGTCTGCCCCGGTGAACTGCTCTGTCGCTGCTGCCAGCTGCTCCAGGTCAACATCAGCACCCAGGGTGACACCAGCGCTCAGAGCCTTCAGGATCTCCACACGGGACTCCTGGGAAAGAAACACAAGAGGAAACATTGTCAATAATTAGATTTAAGATCAAGGGTCTGTTATTAAAGTGTAGATTGATTTTATTCAAACAGACCAGGTCGGGAGGGGGGCAATAGAGGGACTTGTCGAGCCGTCCAGGTCTAAGCAGAGCTGGGTCAATCAGATCCGGTCGGCTGGTAGCTGCGAGCACATACACTCCTGCAAATATAAACATGAAGGATTCTTATTTATTCATTCTAAATGTACAGGTTATAATTCAGGGACATACATGTACACACATTTCTGGATGAGAAGCGGGATACCACTCAAATGTGTATCCAGTGAATATCAAGCTGGAGATGTCAGAGGTTTAGCTGAGCTGAAAGGACTGAAAGCAGTCAGTTAGCCTGGCTAACAGAAACGTCTGACTGTGCATGAACTCAACAGTTCACTGTTCACAGAGGGCTTGCAGTTAAAAATTGTTTTACCTGGCTTCAAAGCTCCCAGTGGCTTAATTTTTGCCCAACAGACATAAAGGGTGACATTCGTCTTCTTACCTGATTTTAATCTAAAAGGTAAATAAATGTTTATTATTTATTTATTTATAAAAACACAACCGCAAGCCTGATTAACAGATTTTTGTCATTGGCTCTTAAAAATGTATTTCTTATGTACAGAGCATAGAGTATGTACTTAACTGCTGTCTAACTTACCTTGCAAACCCTCCACCCCGTCTAGCTGTGTGAGGAGCTGGTTGACCACCCGGTCGGTTACGCCTGTGCTGTCATGGCCTCTCCTCGGAGCCAGGGAGTCAAACTCATCGAAGAACAGGATGCACGGCTTGGCAGCTTGTGCCCTGCAGCACATAGAGAGGCAGACAGAGTTACATTTGTAAAGCTGTCAATGACGTCAAGTATTTGACGGTTCTCAATAAGGAAACGTTTTGAACTATAAAGGTCTGCGGGTCACTAACCTCTGGAAGACATTGCGGACTCCCTGCTCACTAGCTCCGATGTACTTACTCAGAAGTTCAGGTCCCTAGAGGGAGGTTAAAGTCCTGTGTCAGTAAAATAAACACTGCTCTGATTTAGGAGGAAACAGTCCTCTCTTAAGTAAAAGCTCAGCCCACCTTGATGCTGATGAAGTTCATACCGCTGTCTTTGGCCACAGCTCTGGCCAGAAGGGTCTTCCCTGTACCTGGAGCTCCGTACAGCAAAATACCAGAGCGATGGCGGATGGGAAGACTTGAGAACAGGATGGGATACTACAACATACCAAAGACATCAGTTATTAAGAAGAATCATTTCTGCAATTTGCTCTTCATAAGTAATATCTGTTGATGAGTGGAGAGAAAGGTCCTTAGGCCGACTGTGATTTAATGTAAATTGGAAAATATGGAAAAGTCCGACAAAGCATAATCGCTATTTTTACATCACTGTTGTAATATTTAACATAATGTGATCATAATTGTGGCTAAACTGAAATTTCATCCACATCCACAGTTGTGCTTCCATCTTCATGTAACATACTGTAACAGCTGACCCTATGGTTAGTTACACTGACCTTAGCAGGGAGCAGTATGGTGTCCATCAGTTGCTGTCGTACCTCCCTCAGACCCCCAACTCTCTCAAGACCCACTCCACTCGGGGTGTGGAGGTCTGCACCCCACAGCGAGGGAGGTGTGAATCCCTTGAGTGCCTGCACAAAGTCCCTCATAGACAGACACATGCCTTTGAAACACACAGTACAGACAAATAATGAGAAACATCAAGAAAACCTTTAAGACCACATGTAAGTCAACTTTAAATAGACAACTTGAAGTTTTTTCATCAGTGTTACCCTGGTCACTGTGTTCTCTTTGTGCAGTGCTGGCATGAACTGCCCGCTCCAAAAGTAGTACCAAGTCTTGGGGTGTGTATCCCTCTGTGTCCTTGGCAACAGCTGCCAGGTCCAGAGCCTGGAAGCTCTCTTCAGATAGGCTTTTTTTCCCGATTATAAGACGACGTAGGATTTCTGCTCTCTGAGCCTACGACAAAACAAAAACAACAACATGTGTTATTACACTTTTAACCTTTACCAATGTGTTCTTGTGTGTTAGTGCACTTGTTTGCTGACCTGGTCTGGTGGCTGAATGTGTACAAATCCCTGGATGAAGTGGGACCCCTGCACCTCAGTCAGAGAGGGGTGGAGGGAGTGCTCGCTCTGGCTGGTGATGATCAGACACACCAGGCTGGAGTGAATCAGGACCTCATCCACCACATCCCTCAGACCTGCAGCCACACACACACACACACATATAACCACCTACTCACCATACATTAACCCTCTTTTTTCACTGCAATTTACTAAGGGAATCAATCATTTGAAAAGATATCATTATTTTGACTTAAAGATGATTTTGTTCTTCTGCTGAACCAATCAGGAATCTACAGTTAGAGCGACATCAAATTAACCAGGCTCTGCAGATTGATATGATTACAGTTAGTCCTCCAGAGTTTGTGACAAGAGGCGCATCCTTAGCAACCATCTGCCTTTCTTTAGTAACAGTTTGTTATTCTTAACAACGATGATCTACCGAGGGAGAGCACACCGTTGCTATGCATATTGGTCCAATCAGAATCAAGTATTCAACACAGCCGTGTAATAAACATTCATACAAGATAAATAATGTATGGTTTACTCTGGGCTATGTGCAGCTGCAGCAGGGCTTCAGGACCGTGCTCGTGTTCTGGTGAAGTTGGTGCTCCAGTCACGTGATCCAGGTCGTCAAGTAGAACAACTGAAGGCTGCCTCCACTCCGCCTGCTCAAAGACATCCTGCAAAATATGTCTCACTGTTTCTGCCCTTTTGCCTGAAAGGAAAAAAAAGTCCCAGATTCTGTAAGAAACATCTTCAGATACTTTTCTTTGATATGTTCAAGGAATATATTTTTACCTTGAAGTTTTTTGCAGTTCACCACCTCCACATGTGTATCCAGGTCTGCTCTGGCTTTCCCACAGAGGGCTTGGGACAGAGTACTCTTTCCACTTCCCTGTCACAATGCAGTTCAAGTTACATAGAGTACTTATTGGTAATGATAAAAATGCATTGAAATACTTGGCCAGCAGCTTCAGCAGTTATTTAGCATTATTGCAGATATTTTAATTTATGCTCAGTAAAAGTAGAATCATCTTTACTTGAAGCAATAATAGAAAGTTTAAATAAACCTTAGCCCCGGTGATAAGCAGAGCTCCTCCTTTGAGTCCTCTTCCAGAGGTACCAAGCTCTCTTGAGAGGGGACTACCCAGAAGGCTGTGTGAGATGAACTCGAATCCCTTTCTGCTGAGCTCATCAATCCCACTGGGAACAGAAAAAAGTAGTACCAGATATTAAGACAAAGGCTTGCTGAAGAAATCCTAATTTAAACTATTTATAAACACACAATGTGACTCAACACTTACCCAAGAGTACTGAGTAAGGATAGCTCTGGTTTGGGTGCTTCAGAGGATTTCACAGCAGGCCTGGTCGCCTCCTTTCTGTCGACCTGTAGGTGAAACATAGTGGCAAGTTTGAACGTTTTTTTAACCACCGCAGCACCACAAAGCTTTCTATCTCAAAACATAACATGCATGCTCGTACCTGTATATCTTGCTTCTGAAGAACAGCGGGTGCTAGATAAAAGAGCTGGTCAGGAGGCTCGCTCTCTGGTTCTGGTTTCAGCACAGTTAATTCAAACTCTAACTTTGCTAAAACAAAAAAAAAAAGAAGGAAAAAGTTGTGAGAACTATTTTGTGTTTTTATTTTTTGCAGCTGATTAGAATCACTTCACTTTGAGCGAGATGTGGTCTTTAGCCGCTTGGGAATGTAATCATAAGAGAGTGCTTCTGAATCACCATCAGTTCCATGTAGGAGGATGTTGCCAGACCGTGCAGTCAGACAGGCCAAAGGTTCATGACTCTGAGTGTGCAGCCAACCAAGGAAAGCCGTCTGGATCTCCTCGTCCTCCTGCTCAGGCTTAATAAAAATGTCACAGGGAAATAAGGGGAAGAGGAAGCTTAAATAATTAGCTGAATGAATAGGCGGCCTGAATAATGTAGTTATGTGCACCACACTGGAACCTCTTATTGGTGCTCCAGCACTCACCAGGGGGTTGAGGGGCTGTAGGCGAATTGAGGAGGCCACTTTGATGGTTGATTTGACTGGCTTAATTCTGACCGTTGAATGTTGGATGATATTCAACCTGATGGCCAGGGGCGGTGGGATCTGAAAAAAATCTCAATTTTTACAAGAGACTCATAGAAGGACATGAAAAGCAGGAAGCTAAAGACAGCACGTCAAACTATATCTTTTGTTAAAGTGGATAAATAAATCAACAATCCTCTATAAGCCAAAAATACTCACCCATACTCTTCCACTGTGGATCTCTCCTTTGTTGAGACTTCTGTCCTTGCCTGTTAGCTTCTCAATACCATGGCAAACTACCCTGACCACCATGGCTTCTTCTTCTTTCCTATTCCCTTCTCCATCTGCAGCTCCTTTAGTAACTGCTGCATTTTTCTTTTTCTCCATCGCCTGCTTGGCTCGGTCTCTTGATTCTTTGGGGGAGGGAACTTTGGAGATCAGGCCGTAAGTTACAGGAGACTGGCCTCCTGGTGGCCCAGCGTCCAAGCTCTGGCTCCACGGAAACAAATGGATAACTCCTGTTGCAACTTGACTTATGGTGTAGAGAGAGTCTGGGGGTGAACCGCAAACTCTGTAGACAGAGTCAGTGAGAAGGACAGGGAGTTCTGGTGTAGGTGGAAGCTCTTTCACCCGGTCTTGAGTTCCCTTTATTAGGTAGCTTAGCAGGCTTTTCATATCGGCTATTCCACCCCACTGCTGGCTCTGAGGGACTGTGGCGATACTCTCTAGTGATGGACCTGAGGGGGGGTACTGAGCTATATATTGCTGCTCCTGTTCAGCTTTTATTGGAGAGCCACTGAGGTTGTCTGTTCCACCTCGGCTCTTGGGAGAGACGACAAGTTCTGTGAACGTCTCCAAGCGACCGTAAGGCACAGACGGAGAAAGCGATCCTGCACAGTTAAGAACAAAACATTGATTATGCTTTGTTGACCAAAGAAAACAGTTTGCACAATATATTTGCAACTATACAAAATATGTACTACTGTATTAACTCTGACCTATTCGTATGTAGATGGCTGTGTGGCTGTCCACCCACACAGGAAACACGGCGTCTTGGAAAACCACTCTAATCTGATCCAACAGCTGCTGCTCCAGAGCGGCACTGTGGAGCTCCTGGAGATATGAGTCACAGGAAACAAGTGGTTTCTCAGAAATGATGCTCAGAGTCCATTCAAACTGACGTACTCTTTGTTTTCATCTGAGTCCGTTATTAAATAAGTCCTCTTTACACTTCACAATTATTCCAGCACTCTTTCTCCCAGAAAACAAATGACTGTAGGTCACAATGCTCCAGTAACACCCACCAAGATTTCCCAGTCATCAGACGACAGAGGCTCCACAAACACTTGATGCACTGATGAGACCTGATGACATGGTCTCAGAAATCCCTGAGGGAAACCACACAACCTGTTAGTAAATACAAACACTGAAAAATAAAGTGAGGATATGTTAGATGGAGTTTATAGATTATTCAGGTGGAAAACTCATTAAGGGATTCAGTTTCTCTACAAGAGTACATACCTGTTCTCCATCTTTTAGACCCAGCTTTTCTCCAAGCTGTCTACACAGCTCCACTTTATGGCTGTCCAGGTCCGATGAGGTTCTGTTTTGAGTCCAGCTGAGGAATACAGGACAGCCATTGCCCCAGGATAGCTCCAACGCTTGGTTCTAAACACAAAGCATAGTTTTTGTTTGCCCTGACGAGTTAGCCATCAAAATTGGTACTAAGTTTTCCCCTTTTTTTGCCGAAAAGATCAAATGAGTTAACATCGTTTCAGTCATTTTGACATCTAACTTGGTCATCTCTCATTCACATGTCTTCTCTGAGGTGTGACAAAAAATTAGTTTTCAAGCACCTCACAGGTTGTTTAAAACGAGCACATCTATGTCATCCTAGCCTTTTAATAAAAGCAAAAACCACAAGTTCACGTCATGACATCATTATATATCTTTAGTTTGTTTCAGCATCCCTAACGCCGCCTGACTTTCAGATCCTGTGTTAGAAGGTCAAACTGGAGGAGGATGGTTGATAATGTTCTCCACAGCAACTTTCCTTCACTGAAAAGGAGAAAGGCTTGTAAAGTTGTCATGGGAACTTTGTACTCTTTCTCTCTGAAAAGGGCAAGTTTTATAATTCATTTATTAATAAGATGCTAATATATTACAGCAAAAAGGGTAAAAAGATTTTGCAGTGACTGTTCAATCTCAAATTTAAAGTGTTGTCTCCACCAAGTGAGACTTCAGGGGAACTACTACAAAAAATGATTACATCAAAAATGAAATAATAGTACTAATCATAAACATAAAGCCCCCTCCACTGGTATTTTAAGAAGTTACATAATTATCTGATTTGTTATTAAGACTATAGAAGAACCACAATGATTGATTATTCTATTGCTATTGGTGGCAATACTTCACTGACATGTGAAACTCTGACTCTGTAAATCAAATCCTTTGATAGATCACTGTGATGGGTCATGTGTGTCACTATAAAAGTCATACTAGTGAGGATGTTTAAATAGTTAACCTGACCCTGAGGTGTTTAAAAAACCAATAAAAGATAACTTTGAATAATAAAATTGTTATCAAAAGCAAGTTTAATTTCTTCTATTAGAAACTAAAAACAACTCAGGAAACACAGCAGTGCTCACCGTTTCACAACATTGTATCCAAAGTAAACACTTATACAGCAGAAGACTACTCTGACAAGCTAAGCTAACTTACCTCGTTCAGTGAAAGGTGTGATATCAACCTCGAAGGAAGGTGAAGAAAGCAGTTCTTTGAGTTGCTAAAAACAACCGTAACATGCTGAATGCCCTGATTACTAAACATAATTCATAGGACAAGCTCCGTATTCATAAAGCTGGTTTCTCTGCTAACATGAAATGTGCAACAAACTCATAGTCGATCGATGTGTTCGACGTGTGCCCAACTAGACCAAAGAAATTGATATTGAGCGTACTATTCTTCAAAATAAAATCCTACACACGGAGACGCAGTGGGACGCACGGCTTTTAAAAGACAAATAACTCTTATTTTGAAGTATGCTAACCGGAAACTGCTTCCAGAATCATGGCGGCACCAGCTAACAACAACTCAGGCTGTTGGGGCGTCCCAGAGGTTTATAAACACCATGAACAGAGGAAAGTGTGCATTTCTCGACCAAAATATAGAGAGGGAAGAAATGCGAAAGCTGTTAAGGTAAGGATAGCCTAAGTATCAATAAGAAAAAGAATGTATCTTAATCTAAGAGTCAGTGCGACCCCAAGACGATACATGTATCCTGACAGTCTATGGTCTAATCACAATAATAACAAACAACCTACTATTACAAATATGTAGGGAACGTTTTATCATAACGTGTTCTGCATCATTAGGTGTACACCATCAATTTGGAGTCGTGTTACCTCATGGTCCAAGGAGTCCCAGCTATTGGAGTGATGACAGAGCTGATCCAGCTGTGCGCCCTGTACGGAGCCGTGGAGGAGTACAGGCCCCTGGACGAGTATCCGGCCGAGGAGTTCACGGAGGTCTACCTAGTCAAGTTCCAAAAACTCACCAGTGCCAGGTTCAGGATAGCTTTCCCTGTCAAACAACACGGCTGTAGAGAATGGTAGAAAAGCTTCCTGGATGGCTTTGCTTACATTGTTTTATATTGCAGAGCGGCCAAACGACGCATGGATGAGAAGAGTTTCTACGGTGGCGTGCTGCATGTGTGCTACGTCCCAGAATACGAGACTGTGGAGGATACCAGGCTGAAACTGCAGGACAGGAGGAGATATATAATCAGGGCCGTTCACAATAAAGGTACTCCTCAAAATCAAACGTGTATTCACTTTCAAATGAAACATATTTAACTCATAAGTTAAATTCTACAATTCTACAATTCACTTAGCAGACTCTTTTATCCAAAGCGACGTACATCAGAGAGTAAGTACAACACAAGCAAGGATCTAGAAAAAAGGGAACAATGTCAGTAAGAGCAAACGATCAGCTTTGAGTCCGATTGGACACACAGGTGCTGACAGGAAGTGACCAGAGGCAAAGCACAACATTGACAGCAGTTCTTGAGAGCTCTAATCAGTATAGAAACCATCTTATAAGTCATCGTTATCAAACAAAAACAATTGTCACAACCATCATCATAGTCAATAATATGGAGACCATCATCATTAAGTTAGTAGGTATTCATGAAACAGCTGGGTCTTTAGCTTTTACTTAAAGGTGCAGAGGGGACTCTGCACATCCAATGGAGTTTGGACGTTCATTCCACCACCGGGGGGGCGACAGAGGAGAAGAGTCTAGTCAGAGACTTAGGATCCTGTTGTGAAGGTTGGATCACACGCCTTTCATTGGCAGAGCGTAGTGGGCGGGAGGGAGTGTGGACCTGGATGAGAGAGTTAAAGTAAGGAGGAGACGTTTTTGTGGCTGTTTTGTAAGCGAGCAGCAGAGTTTTAAATTTGATGCGAGCAGTAACTGGGAGCCAGTGTAAGGAGATGAACAGCGGAGTGACATGTGCTCTTTTAGGAAGGTTGAAGACCAGTCGTGCTGCTGCATTTTGTATCATTTGCAAAAGGTTTGATAATGCATGTAGGAAGACCTGCCAGTAGAGAGTTGCAGTAGTCGATGCGTGATATCACAATTGCTAACTTCAATTTGGGATTCTTTCTTTTTCCTTCAATGGACTTTTACTATACTAATTATGATCTGTTAATGCACCCAAATGTTTTTGTAGCCCTCATCACATGCTGCAAATGTTTTAATGTTTTAAACATTTTGTTAAATGTTTTTAATTCTGTTATATATTTTTTTACAAAGCAAGAGAAAAACAGCAGAAGGAGGCGGTAAATGAGCCGCCAGCATCATTGGACACAGCTTCCACATCAAGGACAAACAGTACCAGACATGATGCAACCTCTGACAAAAAAAACACAGGAGACACTTCAAAAACGAGCCATTATTCAGGCTTTCCTCTACTGCCGTTACCTCCTCAGGAACTGTATCACTACCGACATATCAATCAATTTGGAACTGTACCAACAGAAGACAAAATGGGGACTTTACATAATGCCATCATTGACACAAAACAGCAGCCAAGACCGAGTTCAAGCTCCACTCTAACCCCTTCAGACAGAGACCCAGGACACAGACTCACCTCAAATCAGAGTTCTGCTGTCAGATTTGTCCCGAGAACCACTCATTTGGAGAACAGGAAACGCAAAGTGGAAGTGGCTCTGGAAAACATGGCAACTGATGACACAAGCAACAATGAGCCTCTTATAGGGCCAAAGCTCCCAGACCTACCTAAAGTGGACATGATAGATGAGTCTCTAAACACAACTGTAAGCCTTATTCGGAACACAATGAAACAGGTAAGCCACAATCAGAAGTTTTCAAATTAACTAGTTTTATTGTCTTCATGTATGTCAGTAAAAACAGTTTGTTGTTTTTCTCAGGTGGGAGCAGTGCCTGATCTCAAACCAGTGGAGAAAAAGGTGAAACCCAGACGTCGGATTTAATCAAACCAGATGCTGTGATTGCTGTTGCTACTTTTGAGAATGATGATTCCAACAGTTCCAAGGCAACTTTTTTCTAATTTATAATGCAAACAGCTATTAACATTTTTAATAAAGGGTATGTAAAAAAAGGACATGGTTTCTTCAGTGTTCCCATTGCTCCTCAAATAAATGTCTCTCATATGTCTCAATACTCTGGGGAAAAAAAGAGAAAGAAATGCCAAAGTTATTATACTGTTTGAATTGAGTACATTTTTTTACAGCTCTTTATACTGATTACCGTGTTGTCAGGGAGGCAGATTCCAAAACCCTCAAGTAAAAGATTCTCTTCTCTCACTGCCTTTTCAAAATCAGCAAACGACAGTCTGCCATCATGGTCGTGATCCTACAAAATATATGTTCAGAGAGAGAATATATAGAATCGTGTCGAGCTATAAGCATGTAAACCCACAGGGCAGCAGCATCCGTCCACTCACCATCTTCTTGAGTGTGATCTCCACCAGGTCTTTGATGCCTTCGTCTGGGTCTTCCTCTGTGGGCTGTCTGTTGAGGCTGTTTTTCAGCAGTTGAAACATCTCCTCTTTTGAGATGTAGTTGTCACCATTTAGGTCATACACCTGAAAGCAGTCTGAAGCCATGCAAAGAGAAATAATTATTGCCTGGATGGTATCTTGTGAGTGAGTTTTATGTGTAGGAGTCTGGAAGTAAGGTTGAGAGCTTACATTTTATTTTCTCCTCTAAAGTCCCTCGAAGGAAAACAGACAGTCCCTCAATCCATTCTTTCACACTGACTGAGCCATCGTTGTCTTTGTCAAATGTCCTGAAGACTGGAGGGCATTTAGTAACAAAGTAACAAACCATTACTGAGTAGGCCATCTAGAGGGTACGGAAAGTATTCAGACCCCTTTACATTTTTCACTCTACATTTTCACACTACATTCTCATTAATGTACACTCAGCACCCCATGTTGACAGAAAAAAAACAGAAATGTAGAAATTTTTGCAAATTTATTAAAAAAAGAAAAACTGAAATATCACATGGTCAGTATTCAGACCCTTTGCTGTGACACTCATTTAACTCACATGCTGTCCATTTCTTCTGATCCTCCTTGAGATGGTTCTGCTCCTTCATTGGAGTCCAGCTGTGTTTAATTAAACTGATTGGACTTGATTAGGAAAGGCACACACCTGTCTATATAAGACCTTACAGCTCACAGTGCATGTCAGAGAAAATGAGAATCATGAGGTCGAAGGAACTGCCCAAGGAGCTCAGAGACAGAATTGTGGCGAGGCACAGATCTGGCCAAGGTTACAAAAGAATTTCTGCAGCACTCAAGGTTCCTAAGAGCACAGTGGCCTCCATAATCCTTAAATGGAAGAAGTTTGGGACGACCAGAACTCTTCCTAGACCTGGCCATCCAGCCAAACTGAGCAATCGTGGGAGAAGAGCCTTGGTGAGAGAGGTAAAGAAGAACCCAAAGATCACTGTGGCTGAGCTCCAGAGATGCAGTAGGGAGATGGGAGAAAGTTTCACAAAGTCAACTATCACTGCAGCCCTCCACCAGTCGGGGCTTTATGCAGAGTGCCTGACGGAAGCCTCTCCTCAGTGCAAGACATATGAAAGCCTGCATAGAGTTTGCCAAAAAACACATGAAGGATTCCCAGACTATGAGAAAGAAGATTCTCTGGTCTGATGAGACCAAGATTGAACTTTTTGGCTTTAATTCTAAGCGGTATGTGTGGAGAAAACCAGGCACTGCTCATCACCTGCCCAATACAATCCCAACAGTGAAACATGGTGGTGATGCTACCCCCATAGCATCATGCTATGGGGGTGTTTTTCAGCTGCAGGGACAGGATGACTGGTTGCAATTGAAGGAAAGATGAATGTGGCCAAGTACAGAGATATCCTGGAAGAAAACCTCTTCCAGAGTGCTCAGGACCTCAGACTGGGCCGAAGGTTCACCTTCCAACAAGACAATGACCCTAAGCACACAGCTAAAATAACAGGAGTGGCTTCGGAACAACTCTGTGACCATTCTTGACTGGCCCAGCCAGAGCCCTGACCTAAACCCAATTGAGCATCTCTGGAGAGACCTGAAAATGACTGTCCACCAACGTTCATCATCCAACCTGACAAACTGAGAGGATCTGCAAGAAGAATGCAGAGATCCCAAATCCAGGTTGAAAAACTTGTTGCATCATACCCACTGTATATTCTGTCAGTTAGAATCAAATTGAAATATTTGCCGTCAAGCACATTTGTCTCCTGCATACAAGGGTCCCAAGCAAATGTAAGAATATATATATATTGATCATACCGATACCTCCATCCATTATCATGTAGTCGGTCATCCCAAACATGTCGTGCAGTATGCTCCTGAACCTCCCTCTGTCCAGTCCGCCTGCTGTATTTTAGAG